ATTGTTTAACGCCCCACAAAAAATTTTTTTTGGGGAAAAAAAAAAATTTTTCGGGGTTTCCCGGAAAAAAGGGGGTTTTAATTTAAACTTCCTTTTTTTTTTTTGTTGTTTTTAAAAAAAATTTTTTTTTGGGAGATTTTTTTTTTTTCCAAATTTTTTTTTGAAAATTTTTTTTTCAAAACACCAGGGGGGGGCCCCCCAAAAAGGGGGTTTGGCCCCCCTTTGGGCCCCCGGGCGTTTTTTTTTTTTTAAAAAATTCTTTTGGGAAAAAAAAAAAGTTTTTGGGGGGGGGGCCCCCTTTTTTTTTTGTGGGGGGGGGGGGAAAAAAAGGGCCCCCCCCCCCCCCCCCCCCCCCCGGTACTGTGCCGACCTACCCGCTTTGTCTTGTCAAACCACCACACCGCGACAAATCGCTGTGATTGCGCTGCCCTATTGGCAGGAAGCATACATACGAGCGTAGACACCACGGGAAATGTACATTTCTTGTTTTCATGACACACAGATGACACTTTTGTCTCCTTGTCGGATCTATCTTTCCATCCATCTAGACAGGGAACCTGGATGCACGCTGTGGGTCCTACAGTGCTTGCTGCCGCACAGTCGCCCCGACAGAGCAAGAATCCCCCGTCCCCTCCTGTTTCTACCCTTTCTAAACTATCGACGGGACTGTCTAACTCCGAACGCAGCGGGCAAACGGTAGAGGAAATTGAGGAAAGTCAAAACAGACAGCTTGAAACCGCCACGGACAAAAACCGAGACCGCACGATACGAGTCAGGCACAGCTACTACCACACCGTAACGGGAGGCTCCTCTTCCGCCACATCCTCGTTGAACGCCCGATGATCGAAAACGGGGGGATTGTCGAATCTCACGCCTCGGGGGGGCTCCGCCGACATCATCGGCGCGTTCGTCACGAGAGTCGGCCCTGAGCCGCCACCGCCGCCGCCTCCGCCGCCGTCGGGTACCGCCCCCACCACTGCCGTTACCGCCGCCGCAGCCGCCGCTACCGCCTCGGATGCCACAGGAGACCTCGGCAACGTAACCGGCGTTGCCGGCGACGGTGGCGCGGTGGGGGCAGGTGTCGGTGTCTGCTGCTGCTGCTGCTGCTGCAGCGGCCGCGGCTGCGGCTGCCGCTGAGCAGCCGCCACTACGGCGCCAGGCGCCGCGGCGCTGGAAGTCGTCGCTGTTGGGGTCGGCGGCGGCGACATGGCGGAACCAGGGGGAGGCGATGCTCTGCCTCCTGCCGAGGTCGCCGTCCCTGAAGGTGCGGCCTCTGCAGCAGCCTCTGTTGACAAGCGCACGGAGAAAAAAAAGGGCGGAGGGTTCGCGGAGTTGTTGAAATACCCTACAGATCGATGACGCAGTGCATAGTATTGGCACGAACGTTGCCTACGTGATATAAAGCAAGGAGCGGGAATGCCGTTTGCCCTACGGTAGAGTTACGTCAGACGATTCCCCTTCGACCCCTCTCCCCCCACCCGATGTTTGCCATCGGGGTTGGGTTTTCGTCGCATGGCAACGACGTTGTAAAACAAGCTGCCCCCCGGTGTTTTGCCATCGGAGTTGGGTTTTCGTCGCATGGCAGCGATGTTGTAAAACAAGCCGATCATTTCGTGAGCTCGGCAACCAGGTCACCCCTTTTTTCTTTGCCTTTTTTTTTTTTTTTTGCCGTAACCATGAATGGTGGTCGAGGTTATGTTATGCCGGGTCGAGAACCCTCACTCCGCGCAACGGGGACAATCGCACCACGTTGTGTTAAATTGGTCAAGGACCCTCGAGGCAGTTACACAGTGCTTACAACTGTCTCTGGAAGTGAAAAACCAGAAAATAAATTAAGTCATACGCAGCTGTCATCCGTACGCAAGGAAGTAAGCACAAGATGCCGAACACCCTTAGCAGGATGCAGCGCACCCTTCATGCGACTCGCCGAGAATACCTCACGGCGCTTCGCGCTTGGTGATGTGAGAGACTGGTCCGGTGAGAACCCGGCGCGCTCGGTCCCGGCTTTGTAGGGATGCTAGGTCAATGATCTAACGACTACGGCATGCACAACTATGAGTACACCCTCCCCCCCCCCTCCCTCGTTATCCTGCCATGGATGATTATTTTTTCATCGAGAACAGATACGCCAAAGTCACCCCAAGGCTTTCAAGTCTACGCTTGAGCACATGGCGTGCCCCTCTTTCCTCGACATTCCTCTCGAACAACGGCCAAAAACTAGACCAAGCAAGCAAAAATAGATGGAACAATATGAAGAACGCGCACCTCTTTGGGCCTTTGTCTTCATGCGCCTTTTTTCGTTCGTGTACATCTTCTTGATCTGGTCAGCCGTCACTTCCAGCTCTGCTGGCCACCGTTGGGACAGCTGCGAGCAACCAACACGAGGGGGCGCGCGGGTTTGATTAGGCGGGAACCGACCCATGTACGCAAAAAGTGACCGCCTTCGCTTGGGTTGTGCTAATAATCTATGCAATGCTAATGTAATAAAGACGGGGTTTCGTATCCTTACCCCCACCCCGTACCCCTTAAAAACACCAACATTAACACCCTCGCGAAGGAAGGCTACTGGTAAAAATCTCTACCCCCTGGTATAAAGCATACAATAGTGCATGGACAGGCCCCGTGCGTCAGTAGGATACTTGCGTAGCCTAACCATCCTCTGCCAGGGAGGCAATGTACCCCCCGCACAAAGCAGCTCTCTCTCTCTCTCAGTCTCAGTCTCAGTCTCTCGATCACCACGCCCACCTCGTCAAATATGTTCTTCATCCCCTCGATCGCCTTCCTGGTCAATCGGCCGCTGATGAGAGGGTCAATGCCAAGAGGGGAAAAAAGGGGGGGTGGGGCAGAACATGTGTGTCACGTTTCGCGACAGGGGGAAGGGAGGGGCGTTAGGGGTCAGCAGCAGCAGCAGCAGCAGCAGCAGCAGCAGCACGACCACCACCACCATCAACAGCAAAAAAGCGAGCATAACAGTCCATCTCCCCATCCACCTCCCCCCACAAACGCAAAACACCAGAATGTGCGACAACCGCGCCTGGCGAAACCGCGTGTGACAAAAACTTGAACCCCGCCACGTTCGTGGCTCCGACGCGTGCATCACCAGGCCAACGTCGCGAACCCCTTCCCCTTCCAAAAGTCGGCCGCAGAGGCTCGCTTGGTGAGGCGGCCTCTAAATCGGCGGCGGGCTGGTTGCCACGCCACTCGCGAACCTCTTCAAGGCGGGAACAAACCGACGTGCACTTTGACGCGAAACCTAGACAACAACAGTGGCGGGGAGGTTGTAGCATCGGGGGGGGAGGAAGGCGAGGAAGGGGGGGGGGGGGGGAGGTCGCTTACCCGTGCTCCTTTGCTATCCATGCCTCGCAAGCCCCGCAGCATGTCATGGCAGGCACAGCCTCACGGGGTCGCTCCACACGTAGGGCGGGGCGAGCGGTGAGCCGTTTGCCCGCTGCAGCTCAACGCTCTGGTCCACCTGTCGTTCGGCAAACGAACCATGGCAGCAACAGCAGCAGCACACTGGCCTCCAGAAAAGGAGACGAGCATTTGAGAGTGACGCGTTTCGCGGCCGGGATTCTATTTAGTGCAGCGCCTATGTACAAGCTTGGTCAAAATGTTCGAAAATTTGTACCCCACCGAAACCTCATCTACCCCAATACTACCACCACACTCGATGCTCTCGATCCCATCTGATCAAAGTCGTGCACAGTTTAGTTTTTAACTACCCTATGGTCTTGCCCCCCCTCTTCCTGAAGCGCTCCGATCCTGCGCCACAGACAATAATCAGGTAGGTCTGCCATGCATGCCTTCACTTCTTAGTGGAGTAAGAAGGTTTGCGGCAGTCCATGCCCTCGAGCGCTTCAAATACCAATAACCGCGCTTTTCTGCTCGAACAGGGAGGTACAGAAATGTCAAAGAACAACACTTTCGCAAAACCCACATTGGTTTCGAAGTTTTCTCTAAGGGACCGGTACTCCTGGTGAAGCCGGGCGGCCTCTTTGGTGTCGTCCCTGTCTTTGAGCGTAGCGAGAACCGTCTAGAACGTCACACGCACAAACGAACGAAGGAACAAACGCACGCGCAGACACACACATACTATTGGCGGTCACAAAATGGGGCATACAGGCAGGCAGGCAGGCAGGCAGACAGACAGTCTGCACGCACCAGCGACGTGCAAGCGTACCGCTGTAAGGGATCAGAAACAGGATTCCGGCGGGCATGCAGCGGTCGTTGGAGTTTGGTTGAGCTGTCCGGTGGTGGGTGATACTCCTGCTGCGCGCTTTCGTGATGACTGGCTTCCGTGGCAGACGTCCGGGTGGTCTTAGAGGTCTGCGGTGCCTCGCCGTGATGCTTGCTTACACGAAAGCTCAAGCGTTTTCCGCGTGCGGCCGAAGTCTCGGCGATTTAAATAGTTATGTACCAGGCTGACAAGGCCCCAAATTTCCAGTGTGCCGTGGGACAACCGGTGAGGAGGGGGGTGTAGACAGCCGTACCAGCCGCAACGAAAGGCCAAGCACGACGGTTGAGGCACGTCGCACAGCACTCCAGGGCGTGGTGTGAACTAACCCCGCCTCGGTCCAACAAAACATACTCATCGTTCCGGCGAACTCCACGCACTCCCTCAACGTGTGACGGCGTCCCACCAACATGACAAGAAGAAAAAAAAACGGCCGAAGCCCGCACGGTTCATCGCGAGGCCGTCAAAAAAAATTCGGTCCGTCCAACGAGACGCCCCCAACAAACGATGAACAACCACCAGCCACCCGACACAAACTCGTGGACCTCTCGCAGCAGCAGTACCAACACCCAGCAATTGCAGAACAACCACCCACCACACCACTTGTCCTTCCCGTTCGCGTCCGCTGCGGCGCGTCGCGCACCCGCGTTACGCAGCTATGTATCTCATCTACTAATACTTTGGTTTACGGTAGGTCGGTAGCACTGACCTTCACAGCCGCCTGGGGCTGGCCGTAGACGGCCGACAGTCGCCCCAGGTACGGGTCTTTGCTGTGGGCGTCCAGGGACGACCGCCTTACCAGGGCGTCCAGCGTACGCATCGCTTCCAACACCACTTGGGCGCCGTCTCCCGCTGGCCGACCGATATCTACCCAGGCCTTGGAGTCTAACGATTTGGTTGGAAGGGGGTCAAGCGGGCGAAGGGAACGGGGGTAGGTAGACAACAACGGGGGTACGATCGGGAGGTGAGGCGGCGCTGAGGCCGGGGGGATAGCATTTGGGGACCGTGTGACACCACCACCAAAACAAAGCTACGCTGCTGGCGCGGACACGGTTTGAGAAAACACAGCTGCTGCCCGACATAGGACAAGGCTACGAGACACTTGCTGCAGGAGTGTGCGCAGCTTCGTTACGAACGCCGCCAAAGTGATTCTTCACCTTGTTCGAACCGCACCGTCGCGGCCTCGAGCTCGGGGCTCCAGTCCGCCGCGGGTACAGCCGTCGGCGTCACCGGCGTATCACCACTACCGCCCCCACTGCTACTGCCCACTCCCGCGCCCGCATCCACCGCTCCCGCCCCGCCGGGTAGGGCGGCACTGACTTGGCTCGTCGCCGTTGTACCAACGCCAGTCGTTGCTGTTGGCACGGCGGTGGCGGCGGCGGTGGCGACGGCGGGAGCGCCACCCCCTGCAGCAGCAGCAGCAGGAGCAGCCGCACCGCCCACGAATGCGGATGCGGCTGCTGCGGCGGCAGCTACAGCGGCGGACGGTTTCGCGGCTCCCACGGTCACGGATGCGGGGGAGGAGGAGAAGGAGGAGGGCTTCGAGGCGGCGGTAGCGGCGGTGGTAGCGGCGGCGACCTTGGGGCTCTTCTTGGCAGCTCCCCCCGCCTCGGCGGCAGTCTTCCTCTTCTTCTTCACCGCCGCCGCCGCCGCCGCTGCTGTGCTGCTCCCTTTCCCAGCTGGTTCGCTTGTTTGAGCGGCCTTGTTTTTAGCATTCGTGATGTGGGTCGGTTTGGTAGGACGAGCGAAGGCGGGGGGGGAGAGAAACCCGGGGTGTGCACTTTCAAGCAGGCACACATTGGTGGCTCACTTCCTGCGACGTGTGTTGCAGAATACTGGTACTTCCTCAAAGACGGCCTTCGTCGCCGCGCCAGTGATAGGATAGCGACCCAAAGTCACGCGAACACTCGACGCAAAGACGCGATGTGTCATGCGAGAATATCGATCTGCGGGGCCCCTCCTTGGCTTGAACGGTTCCATGCCGGTCAGGAAAGCGAGTGTGCCAAGCAAAGCAAACCCGCACACGTACTACGCAGAGCATCGGCGCCTCTCACTTCACAGCCAGCTTTATTTTCTCCGCCTATTTCCGCCCTTGCCGCGTATGAGACAGACAGGTTTCCTTTCCAAACGGTCAACTCAAGCGACAAAACACGTTGTAAAAAAACAATTCGCAAGGTCTCTTGACCATTTTCATGGTAAATAAACGCGTTCGTGTTCTCCTTCTGCACCTTCTTCTTCTTTGGCCGGACAATCACTTCGCTGTCGGCCCCACCGGCGTCGCCAGCTCCTCCCGGGCTCCTCTCCCCGCCGTCGTCCGAGTCGACCGTGGCAACAGCCCCTTGGTTGGCGAAGAACCCCGTGTGTACGGTCTTGACCTTGCTCGAGGCCTCCTGTCAAGGCCGGAGGGGAGTGGGGGGGGTATCGGTCGTGAATATCGGCGAGTCGATAATGAACACGAACTAGCAGCACACGACAACGATGACGCGCATGTGGAGGGAACACGCAGACAAGGGTACGGCCTCGTGATAGAGCTACATTGAGAGACAGAGAGAGAGGTAAAAGCCTTGATTGAGCAAGAGCGAGGAGTTTGACGGGGACAAGTCACCGCGGGAACCCACACGCTATCACAGCAGGTTGCCACCTGTGCTATGTACGTGCAAATATCACGGGTGGGTTGACACAGCAGACTTCGGCCTAACCCCCCTGCCCCCTTGTGGTCAATGGTCTAACCGTTAAGGCATGCAAAACATAAGAGTACGCCCTCTCCCCCCCCCCCTGGGGGCGCGGCATTCCTCTCGAGGGGATGCCCGGGTATTGTTGATCTGCCACTCGCATACGCTTGAACTCGGGAACGGGCGCTCTCTGCCTTTGCCGGGGGGAACACACAACAACACCACCACAAACCAGACCGCCGCCTGCCCACCCGTACCTTGGCGTAGTACGCCTCGACCAGCAACGTGTCGTCGATGAAGTCGTCCTCGTAGTCGAAGCTGTGCTTCCTCGTCCTCTTCTTCGCCTTGGGCTTGCCCTTGCCAACCCCCGCGGCAGCGTCGCTGCCGCTGCCGCTGCGGCCGCCGCCGCCGCCGCCGCCGCCGCCGCCGGTGACGGTGGTGCCGTCGCTGCTGTCGCCCGCCTCGCTGTCGTTCTCGTTCTCGTCGTCCCCGCTAACGCTCGCCTCCGAGGAGCTGGCCACCAGGGGCGTGCCCCCGCGGTGCTCCAGCTCCAGGCGCTCGATGAGGTCCAGCCAACCCCGGCCACGGCTCTCCCGCGTGGACAATCCCCGGGCCTTCCGCTGCTGCGGCCCGGCGCTTGCTTCCGCGGAGGTGGCAGCACCTGGTGCGCCGAGCTCATCGGCGGTAGTGGTGGCGGCGGAGGCGACGGCGCATTCGGGGTTGGTACTGCTGCCCTTGACGCCTGCTGTCTCTCCCGCCGCCGTCATCGCTGCCGCGGGACTCTCGACGGCCGTGGCTGACGGGGAGGTCCCAGTGGTGGGTGCTGCGTCCGGAGCTCCTGCCGCTCCCGCTCCGCTTCCAGCAACAGTCGGGGCGTTTGGGCCTGCCATGGAGGCGGCGGTGGCGGCGGTGGTGGTGGTGACAGCCGCGGCAGCGGCAGCGGTAGCGGCCGCGGCCGCTATTTTCGCTTTTTTTCTAGCCGCGTCGACTTCTTTCACCAAAGCCTTGAGGCTCACCCCGTCTTTGTTTGCAACAGCGGTGCAGTCGATGTGGAATCTTGTGTTTTTTGTTTTTCGAGAAAAAATCCGGGCCGAACCAGCAAAGGCGCGTTGCGGGGGATCGGGTGCAGCGTTTTGAGACGGTCCGGCTGTTGTATGATAAAGTAAACAGTAGAATCCCCGGATGCAAAATATCTGCACGCACAATCGTCGGTGCTCGTCCCATACTGCAGGCATGATGTACAACGATCAAGAGTTTAGAGTTAAGAGACTTCGCCCAACCAGACACAACTGGGTGGATAGAGGTTTAAACTTGTACCAAGTATTTAAAATGTACACTGACTCTACATAGTCTACCGATACCTACGCACACATATGTAACCGTTTTCTACAGCGTGGCTAGACCAACTACATACCACGGGATCCACCCATACTTTTGCCTTTCAGCTATTCATGCTGTGAGGGGAAAACTTGGTTTCCAAAAGTGATAGATAAGGCAGGTTTGCAATTTCACCGCGGTACTTTACCGCACTACACCACCGGCCCCGTGATCTCTAGTGAGCGACATACATACAACCCTGCTGTGCTTGCTGTTATTTTCTACTTCCTAAAATCCAAGCCGCGTGTGTGGGCGGCGAGATGGCAGCTCACATTCCCAAGTCACATGACGCTCGCTCACCTGTACCATCGAGGGGTCACACTAGCTATCGCCGGCTTCTGAGTGAGTGCTGGCATCATCGTCTGCCCTTGGTAACAACACGATCGTCTGTCCCCTGGTTCGGCCTGCGCGTGCAGCGATCGATCTGCTCCGCTGAACTGGCTGTGAATACACGCGCTCTCCTTTGGTGATTTTTGGTGATCCTGTCGGGCGCGAATATTTGCAATCCATGGATTATAAAAGAGAACCACAGTCCAAACATCCGGACGGATCGAAACCCCGGGAAACCGCCCGGAGTGTCCCCGAAGAGGTTCTCCTCTCTCCCTCTCAAATTCAATATTATCTCGGAGCCTGGATCTAACGCCCGTTGTCTTCGGAAGCAGAGCTCTCGTCTGCAGCAACAGCCTCAACAGTCCATACTGCCATACTGGCACATATTTCACGCCAAGGCCACCCTTCGCACCCGGGATGCCCAGGAGACGCTAGGCCTCAGAGGAACAGGAGGACACGACGACACACAACGCCCCGTACTTAGAGGAGTGCTCGTCTCTCTCTGTGTGTGTGTCTATCCGCGTGTGGTGCTGCTGTTGTTGTGCGTTTCTGCTGCTGCAAGCAATTGTTGCTGTAGATTTTGTGAACTACATACAGCAGTATTCTTTTTTTGGTAGATATAACCTGCTGCACGGTGCTGCCGTGATGGATGTCAGTCATCATGGGGCCGTCAAAATCTGTAGGCATCGTTTAGTTCGCACACCGCAGGCCCGCTCAACAAACTCGAGACGCGGCTCACACGGTTTTCTTCGCAGAGCACACAGGTCGACAAGCACAGATAGACGCAGAAAAAAACAAAACAGAACAATCAATATCCAACAGCGATTTGATGATAGACTGACCCCCACCAAAAAAAGAAAGGACCTGGATATGACCCCAACACGGCAAAAAAGGGGGCGGAAGAAAGAAAAGAAAAGGAAATGGAACAAAAGAAATAAAAACAGGACAGGAACCAGATGGCCCCATCGAACGCTACACCGCAACAACCAAATAGACATACAAACACAAAATCGACAACATCACAGACGGCGATCGGCGCAAAAACGCCGAAGCGAAAAATAAACAACACACCGAGCCTTGACCTGCCGCCGGGGGGGGACAAAACATCGTTCAGGCATATGCCCCGGTGACGTCGTAAACCTAGGGCCGCGTACCGCTACTCACGTACCCCAAAGTATGCAACACCGAAACTAGAGTTGGGACCCCGAAGTCGCGGCTCTCTTGCTACCCCCTCTTGTGTATCTTTCTGCAGCGCCAGGTCGTCTTTTATTACTTGTCCTAGCGGGCAGGCGAACAGTTCCAGGGTTGGCCATGAAGAGAGCCGCCCCCCGCCCTCCCGTCGTTGTAGTTTCCTACCCCGCCTGCTTGCACATTGACCATCGTCAGAAATTGGTCCACGAGGGCTACGGCGACTGTCGGTGAAAAGCGATCAGACAAAATACTCGCGGCTTGCCCGAGCTTCTTCGTTACGTCGGCGTACAACACTTGTCTATCCTGGTCCGTGGGCCCCTTCTCCTTCAAGTCCAACAGGACCGTCTGCACCGTCTGGCTGCTCCCAACGAAAGACTTCCACCTCCCGCTGCATCCCCCCACCCCCTCTCCCTCTCCCTCTCCCGCCGCCCCGTCCACTTCTCTCGCAGCGTGGCGGTTGGATACCACCCACCGAGGGCGGGCGACATCCGGCCAGTCCTGCTGCGGTGTTCCCCTCGCCTTTTCCGTCAGCCAGTGCTCGTGCAGGAGGCCTACGTGGAATCTGAATCGGGGGCTGTACATCATCGCCGCCCACACATGGCGACAAAATAGCCTGAGAGTTTGGAGTGTGCGGCACTGGCAGAGATGGCTACCGTCGGAAAAGAGCAAGACGAGGTAGTCGAAGGCCTTGTCATCACGCTGCTCGTGAATCCCGAAGACGTAAATGGCGTCGCAAAGCTTGTCCTCGATGTACTCGAACGTGCGCCCCGAAGCTGCCGCGCGTTCTGGTCCATCCACCTCCCCCACCACCCATCTGGCAAAACGTGATGGCCGCGGTCATCTCTTGCTCCATGAACCGCCGCGGCCAGCCCGCGATGGAGAACTCGCAGGACTCGAGCACACTCTTGAAAGCGGTCGCTGGTGGAGCCGCCATCCGATTAGGCGGCAGATGGTCGATTGCGTCACGCAGCATGGCGGCATCCTTCTGGGAACAGATGATGCCCGAAAAGTACTTCGCCACGTCCAAAAGCGAGGAGCGCGAGTTGCACCTATCCCTGATGAGGGCGTTTTGGCCTGTTGTGTGTGCGGCGGACAAACACGCAAGAAGCGACACACAAACCAAACCGTAGGTTAGTGATTGGTGTCATCAGACATCGTTGAAGTCGCAGTACGCCAAACGACTGAAAGAGAAGCCTATGACTTGACGCACCCATCGCCACAGATGTATGTACACGTGAGCCGGACGATCGCAGTGCACCGACCAAGTACATCAATCCCGAACAACAGGGGCCGGACAACAGCCACATGTTTCGAAGAGGTCGTAAACATTAGCGTCATGTAGGGAGTTGTTTACTGGTCATCCACTGACGGCGTACGATAAATTCGTCCAGAAGCACTCACCAATGGCATAGTAAATAGGGGGCAAGGAAGATAGACCGCCCCCAACCCCTACAGACGTAGAAAAACTCCCAAAAACAACGACAACGCTATATGCGCTGTCGTTCTCGAACAAAACGCTCATGATGGCAGATGACGCATACACGCACCTTCAACTCTTGATGTCGTCCACGAACCCACGGAGAACACCAGGGGCGACACATATTCCGCCCACCGTGCACGGTCGTCATATACTACTTGCATGTACTTCTCCGCCTTCGGGTACTTTTCGATGAGGGCGTTGAACTTCCGTTCGAACTTCGCCAATGACAGCTGCTGACGCACACACCTGAACTCGTCCATGAAAGGCTGCGGAAAACACAAACAGACGTGGGCCGGGTGGGTGTTGCGTGAGTTGGGGCCTTTGCGATATGGGCTACCGGTCTGTACGATTGACTGCCACCAACAACCCCGTACACTTCGTTAGCGCTAAGGCGAGACGAGGAGAGGGTTGAAAAAACTCAGCGACATACCATTGGTGCTTACAACCTGCTGCTGCTGCTGCTGCTTTTTCTGTGTGCACTGGACGTCGTGAGGTATGTTTCCGTCGAAGCCGAGGTCGTCTCCGCATCACGGTCTACGCAGAGACGCTGGATATCACTCTTCCAAGTAGGCGACACTGATCCATGACAACGCACCAACTCGCACAGGGGATACAAGCGGGAGTGGGGGAGGGGGGCTAGAGTGGGCAGCGTACGTCGCGCGACCAGGACAATACGAGAGGCCAGACTAACCACGCCAACACACACAGTAGAGCGCACCTTCATGTACCCACCAAGGACTTTAGCGAGGGCCTTGATAACGTTCTGGTTGAGGTGCCATAAATTGCGCCTCGCCAGCGCGTCCGGGAACACCTCTCGCACCGCCGCCGTCATCGCCGCGTCCGCGTCCTGGATGAAGGTATCCGGCTGCTTCCCGCGAGACTCCAACGCACTCTTCAACATCCACAGGAAAGTGTCCGTTGTGGTGTCGGCCGTTATGCTTTGGCCGACGATCCGCGTCCGATACTCCGAATCGACGACAGCGAGCACACCGAGAGGCATACGGTATCTGTTCTTGACAGCGGTGTCGTCGTAGAGCGCAACGTGACCGTACCGATTCCAAAGCGCCACCTGCGTATTCGGAGCATGACGTCGAAGGGGATCGAGAGCACTTAATTGTGGGTGTGACGTGTGTTGGACGCGTCACAACGCACCCCCACCCTTGCCTACGGCGTGCTTTCGGTCAGACGTCCTACATTTGCGGACGGCGAAGCGGTACGTGCGAGATGCTAAAATGAAAGCAAACCTTCCGGCTGGGGAATATTCGTATGGGGCACAACGACCGGCGACCTACCTGCTCTCTCGTTTGCCACCAGATGTGCGTCAGGCGGCCGCTGTCATCCATCTTGATCTCGCACACTCCGCCGTCGGCCGTCGCGGCCATGACCTGAAATTGCAACATGTTAAGCGCCCGGAAACATCGAGGGCATCAGCGCAAAACCACGACGACGGCACGGCACACATTTTTTACCTCCAACATTTCTTGGTTTGGTGTCATGGGGCATATATTCTCCCGGTTGTCACCTGCGATCGTATGTGTCTTGTCGCCCGGATACCGCCTTGAGCAAAACCCAACATCCCACACACAAACAAGAGAGGCAACAGTCTCAACGGACACATGGACACACCTCTTCGTACGCATCGGCAGCATCTCTCGGCTTCTCCGCCCCGTGCACAATGGCAGCTGCGTTCTGCACCGCGCGCTTGTTGATGTCGATGTCGCTGTCCTCGTGCAACGCCTTCATTGCTTTCGTCACCTCTTTTGGCTTCATCCCATGACCTGCGCCGTATGGGAGAGCCGGGAGCACAAAAATAAGTGGCGTGTCACAGACAAACAGGGTAACAATGTGGAGGCGACAGCAGTACCACGCTTCAAGGGCCGTTCGTCATGCGGCATCATGACTACCAACCATGACAAACCGTGGGATACGACGGGAGCCACTGTAGACCTACTCCAACGAGTTCAATCTTCCTTGCCCCATATTTGATTCACAAGACAAGACAAATGAAACGTTTCGCCGTCCACCGCTGAGTACACGAAAACAGCGAACCGAACGTGCACGCGTTGAAAGGCACGAGGTGCAGCACAGCAGGGACAATCAATTGGCGTGCTACACCCACGGAAACAATGGCAGGGCCTCTACAGGGAGCCTTGATGTGGACCGGGGGAATGCCAGATACCGGTGCTCTTTTCATGGGGCCAAGGGGAACAGCAGCAGCAACATCAAGTAAAGCACACAAAAAAACATTGTGGGTGTCACGCCGAACGGCACGTGTCAAGCACCAACCCGTCTCGCCTGCGTTTCCGGCGGGGGGGCTGGTGGTCAATGTCTGCTGCTGTTGTTGCTGTACGGGGTGGGCTTGTACAGGGTAGCCCGCAAAACCTCCGGCGGCCCCAGCATCGGGAGCACCCACAGGGGCCGGAGTTCCCAACGGCAGACCAGTGCGAGGTGAAAGCATGGCCTGCAACCGCACGCGAAACCCACCACGCGGCGGAATGGAAGGACACCATGTCAACGTTTGATCACAAGACAAGACAAATGAAACGTTTCGCCGTCCACCGCTGAGTACACGAAAACAGCGAACCGTACGTGCACGCGTTGAAAGGCACGAGGTACAGCACAGCAGCGACAATCCACTGGCGTGCTACACCCACGGAACAAACATTGCCGGTGTCACGTCGAACCGCACTTGTCAAACATCAACCCGTCTCGCCTTGCGTTTCCGGCGGAGGGCTGGTGGTCAATATCTGCTGCTGTTGTTGCTGTACGGGGTGGGCTTGTACAGGGTAGCCCGCAAAGGCTCCCGCAGCGCCAGCATGACGAGCACCGTAAGAGGCCGACAGAGCAGCACTGGATGGAAGCATTCCTAGCAATGACACTACCGCACGGCAGGCCACGGGTCCCACGACGCGAACATGGAGGGTAGACACATGAAGTTAAGGGGTTGGGCAAGTGCGTGCACAATGCCTGCACCTCTACCAGCCCAGCACTGCTGTAGCACCACCATACAGCCGAGCAGCCAGAAGAAAAGACTCCGGACTATACGGCAAGGACAACAGGCAGGGCCTGGCCTGGCCTGACCACACCAGTGCAGGCACATGATCACCAACGTACGTACGACGGCAACAACAGGTACAGAGCAGCATCGACACGTGGGACAGCATGAGGGAGGCTGCAACACAGGAGACAGACCAACACACACATGGCGCTGGTGCGGGTGCGGCCGTTGCTATTTTATTTCCAAAAAAAACATCACAGAGAGGGTGAGGGTGAGGCACAGACACAGAGGATGCACGGACGCCTGTCGGGACGGGATCTCACCAGTTATCGTTGTGTGTTGTCTCCTCGTCTTCCCCCAGCGTGCGGGTGCGTGTCGCCGCCTTCAGACGGCTCTCCGCCGCCGTGATTATCGCTGCTTTTATAGGAGAGGGAGAAGAACCTCTTCGGGGACACTCCGGGCGGTTTCCCGGGGTTTCGATCCGTCTGGATGTTTGGACTGTGGTTCTCTTCTATAATCCATGGATTGCAAATATTCGCGCCCGATCCTGTCTCCTCACGAAATTTGAGTCCGATAATTCAAATTCTTGTCCAACTTATTTCGTACAACTTCGCGTTTCGAGAGTTGGGAACGACTTGGCATTTACCCTGTAAACTAAGAAGCCGGGCCGGCACCGTCCAATACACACAACCTCGTCGGCGAGGGGGGGAGTGAAACAACAGCAGTGAACCGCAACACCACAACACACCAAAAAAAAAAAACGCGATTCTGTTCTGGGGGAATCGCAGAAGATATTCTACAAGAAGGCCCCCCCCCTCTTGACAAAAAGTTCAAAAATTTGGTGCGGGTGGGTTACTTGCTCCGCCTAGGCTTCTTGGCCTCCCCCTCATCTAACGCGCACGCGGCCTACGGAAGACCGTTAGCTCAATGCGCGAACACAAGACCTGCAACAGGAAGCGAAAAACTGTGTTTAGATACGTATGTGCGAGATGGAGAGATGGAAAGCCACAAAGTTTGGTCACATGAGTGACTGATGGCAGACCTGAGACGCTAATGGGCCCGACTGTACATCCGGCATCCAGCACCACCGCGATCACTGGAGGCCGCTGGTAAGCCGATGATCTGTTGTTCGGCTCTTTCTCAATCCCTTTACTTGAACGCGCACGGTGCCCTTTTCCCTCTTTCCAGACATGAAATGGTGTTCACTGCTGTTCACACGAGGTCTCGTTGTTTGAGAAAAAAAATGAGGACTAAGAAAAATAAGGAATTAATTGTTGTGTTGTGTGCGGCGCCTGCTCAACCTTGCTGCATTTTGAAACCCGTATGTAGACTATACGATTACAACCGAAAGACATACTTCTACGTGATTGCTGTGCTTGACTCTGTGTACAGCAGGGACATCAAGCCCACAATTCAAGAAGATCCCACAGCAACAGATGCTCCGAAATTGAAATTTATCGGGTCTGGTCTGATCAATCGTTGTCATGTCACTCAACGTTGCCCGATGATCGTGTCGTGAAGGTTGTGCAATGCAAGATCTGAAGTATGACCGAACTCGCGGAGCTTCAAGGCAAATATTTAGTCGAGAAATAAGGGTGAATCCCAGAAACCAATCTGCGCTGCACGTGCTATATCGCTTGCCATGACTGCTGTGTTTTTGAGTCGGTGTACGTCAAGCCCACAAAGCAGCGTGGTTCCACACAAGCAGAGTGTTAAAAGAATTCCCCGAAATTAAATCGTGCTCCGGTCTGGTCATCAGCGGTCGTTCGGATGGGTCAATTCCGTGAGAGGGGGGTTCCTTCTGACCCTCATTTGTTCGCCGATCTCTATCAAAGCAATGATCGAGACAATGACGCCCACGGGAAACCGAATGATGCGTGATGGATGATAGGCATGACACGCGATGTACACGTACTGTCCTGCTGTAGTTCAGGAACTGGCTAAGAGGCCCGCTTCCGCTGGCATTTTCTGTGCGACGAACGCATATGCGTGTTCAAGACGTCGGGTTGGGTGCCCAAGAGGTGCTAAACCAAGAGAACTAGATACGGGGTTGTTGTTGTTGTTGTCTTCACATTAAAAACCGTTCCGTTCTCTCTGCCCAGTACCTTCTTCTGTCCGTACTAGTCTAACACTTGACGGGGTCGATTCCCGTGGTCACAGGCTAACTTACCCAAAAAAAGGTATACGAAAATAACATATAAGGGGTGATCTGTTTAATTTATGAGCTTAGTTTTTTTGTTTGGTTTTGTGGGCAGGGCATAGTATTCAGGATTGTTCAAGGAGTAGAACCAGTCCGCGGAGCGTTCACTTTTTAAATTTTGACGGGGCGGAGCGGTACTTTACTACTGTAGTATTGTAGCAGACACAAGGTTGCGCAATATCCAATCGGGTGAGGTACGTCTCACTTGTTCAGATATCTGCAATATCCGCAAGGACAAACAAGCGGCGTCAAAAATCTCTAGCAAGCAGCGGCCAACACCAGTAATGTTACATAGCACTCATATCGCCATCCATAGCATCCATTGCAAGCCACATAATCAGCATATCAGGTTCAGCGCTCACAGCAGTGGGTGGCACAGGGCATGGCTCAATCAATCTTTCGCTTCAGGGGCGGTGTTGATAAGTAAACTCCTGGTTTTGGTTGGGGGCAACCGCCGAGGAAGAGGTGTGCCCCCAGGGGTCAGGGGACATGTCAGTCTGATTCCCGATCATGTCAGCATACGCCCTCCGGACACTCGCGACCATTCGCGACCATAGCGAGGTATTCATCATCGTATTTCGAGAACCGGTGGGGACGACCGGTCGTGACACCCCCCCCAGCATCGACCGTGGTACAAGGCTATGCTAAAGGACGGGCGCTCCGGATCCCACACCCGGGTCGACTGCTCACTTCCTTTGTTGTAGTTAGTCCGCAAAGATATAGACTAGTGAAGGGTAGTCCCGATCTTGGAGGGGAACGCGATCTTGACTCTCGTGGACCAGCAGACGGCGATCTTGAATCTCATAGCTCAATTTTTCGTCGAACGGTACGATGACGGACTGCTGTGCAAAAAGTTGAATCCGCGTAACATTTCGCGCGGCCATCTACTGCCAGTGCACCCCCCCAGGCTGCCATACAGACAGTCAGCAGGCTCATGGCGATGGCATACACATTGGTCGTTACTCAGGCAGAGAAGGAAGGATGGGCAGCCCCTCCCATGCCAACGTCCATCTCTCGCTTCGTGAGCTCCTCCCAGTCGCCAGTAGGGGGTCACGATAAGCGAAGACGAAGGCCTTGAAGACCTTGGGCTGGCCCTCGTTGTCCACAAATTCGCGGCCCACTCGTGTGCCCACCGGGAAGAATCGCAAGGCGTGTTCCCGCGACTCCACTTCACGTGCGCGCCGGGCGGGCGGTCCGCCAGGTCTTGGCGTAGCACCCTTACCATGATAGTCCTCATGCATAGCATGAAAGACGTCCAGTTGCAGGGGGGAGAAGCTGTCACTCGTCTCATCTTCCGTCAGCCAGGGCGATAACGTGCCGTCTTGGTAGCGGCCCCGATACCCCCACGACCATGCCGAGGTGTTGCAGGGACCGCGACGACAGAGATGTCGGCGAGGCCGAGGTGAGCTGACCACACGAGGTGTACTTACTCATCCTCGAAC